TATATATATATATATATATGGTTTGTATTTTTGGACTTCTACTTTAACTTGCGGATATGTTTGTGAACATGTCTGTTCATTTTTCACACACACACACACTCTCTCTCTCTGTGTATGTATGTATGTATGTATGTATGTATGTATGTATGTATGTATGTATGCATGCATGTGTGGTATGTGTGGTATGTATGTATGTATGCATGCATGCATGCATGCATGTATGCATGTATGTATGTATGTATGTAAGTAGGTAAGTAAGTAAGTATTATGGATGGATGGATGAATGCATGGATGTATGGATGGATAGACGGATGGATTTGTGTGTGTGTGCGTATGTACGTACGTACGTATGTAGCTAGGTAGCTAGGTAGGTATGTATGTATGTATGCATGCATGTATGCATGCATGTATGTATGTATGTATGTACGTATGTATGGATTTTGTATTCATATATGCATGCCTGCTATGTCCGGACGGTGTAGTGCATGTCACACTCATGCTGTTCACTGTACTTGCTTGCTTCATAAGTACCTGCTCATGTGTGCACCATCTTACTTCAGCTGCTATCTATCTTGCTTGATGTTTTGTGCTCCGAAGCACCTAGGAAGCGACGGACTGTGCCAAATGCCCCATCGGCCAGTATGGCCCGCAGAAGGGACTTGCAGAATGCACGGAGTGCCCAGCCGGGAGGATCCGAACCGCAAGAGATCGCAAGAGTGTAGGGCTACAGTCAAGTGAACATCTCAATTCCAGGCACATTTCCCAAGTTCTGGCTCAACCAGGTTAATGTAACAGCCCCCCGCAAACCCTGCAACCCTCAAAAACCCCCAACCCTTGTCCATAAACCGTCCTGCCACCCGGGAGGACGACAGGATTCTCGGGCGCTGTGGATCAGGAGGCATGCCAGTGCCAGGGCGAGCTGTACCAGGGCACATGCACCCGGGCGATAAAAACAACTCACAAATTACTATCTACTAAAGCCACAAGCCACCTGTAACATGAACCTCAAATCAAGGATTAGGGGCAAAGAGGATCATGTTAGTTTGGGGTGATGTCTTGGCGTTGCTGCTACCCCAAGACACCTGCTCAACAAGTGTCAGAGCAATCCAGGCATTTGCCTGGCACTTCTGTTTGGGCAAGCCATTTTCATTATCCGAGCAGGTGGCCTTTTCATTTTCTTGTTTGAGCTTATACAACCCTACCATACGTAATTATAAAATGAATATATAAGGTACTGATTTTTGCGCCTCCCTAAAGCACAGCCCTGGATCGTTCAAGTTTAGGCATTTTTTGAAAGCCGAGACCCGACACCCTATATAGACCCTACAGCCTTTTTCTTGAGGGAAGCTCAGCACCTAGGCATCAGCTGCGCTTTCAACACACGCTACGAAGCCGGCCAATGCCTTCCATGCTCGGAAGGTCTGAGGTGCGCAGGCTCATTATGAACTTCTACAGGGTTCAGTATGGTTTAACAGGCTCACTATGAAGTGTTATCGGGTTTGAACAGGGTTTAGCAGGGCGGGGTGAGGCATCAATCTTGTTTCTTCAATATTACAATATTTCAGCCATGTGTATAATTTTGATAAGTCTCGGCTGAAGAAGCAACAATTAACAATTATCATCTTGGCCGGCCAAAGACAAGCCCAGGTGTGATGGCAGTAGCACGGCGGAGGTGGATCCTGGATACTACGCAGATCCAAGTGCCTTGGGGAGTTTAGAGGAACAACACTAACCCTAGGGCTCCAGTTACCTAGATAGTGGCTTACTAACCATCTATTATGTACCCCAGTAACCTACTATTTAGGTAACTGGAGCCCTAGGGTAAACTAAAGCACCAATAACGCCTTGGAGATCCTCGACCTCGGATGCTCGCCGATGTTCGTGAGTCTTCGTGCTTCAAGCCCTCTAAGAGTCCTCCCTTTGAGCCTGCCGGCACCCCCGCTTCTCAGCGGATCACTGAGGTGCTCCCTTCGACGTCTACAAATGTCTTCCTCAAGAGTTTTGTATCGGTGGATCGCCCGGGGCATGTGCAGGTGGCCGGGAAGGTATTCCCTGCACGCAGTGCCCCGAGGGACAGGCGTGGGCAGTGGGGGCGTACGAGGATTGCACATCTCTCAGCCTGGCGGGCTGGCTCGCTGCTGGTTTAGCAGGTATGCTGGCAATTCCGGCACTCTACTTCATGATGAACATGAAGCAGACTGCCAAGGCCACCACGATGCTCGCCACTTCATGTGCCTTGGCCATGACGATCAGCATGCTACAGAACGTGGGCATCGTCGGATACATATCGTTCTCTTGGCCATCCGAGCTGCAGTGGATGTTCGACCTCATGAGCCTCTTCACCCTGGACTTGCAGGCAGCAGGCTTCGATTGCGTATCCAGCTCGCCAGTGGCCAGCTACCACATGACGGCAGCCATGCTGCCATGCGCTCTTCTCTGGCTCATCGTGTGCAGCCTCCTCAGCAAGCTCCTGCCGGCCCGTTGGCAGTTCGAGAGCGCGAAGGTCGTCAGCACCCTCGGACAGTTCGTACAGGTAAGCTTCACGATCTACAGCAAGGCCCCGTCTCTGTCAACACATGTCAAACATCAAAAAGCTTGTTTCATAGCACTGACGCATCTAGCACTGTCCTAGGATGTGCATGTCAGTAGAGGAAGCACAAGACACATCAATGGCATAGACTTCACTCCTCGGATGCTCGAGACGCACATGACCCGAAGGTTGCTCTGTCTCCGATGATGTGCTATACGCACCCAAATGGCAAGAGCGGCATGCTGGAGCACAATGGAATCTTCTGTTTCGAGAGCGCCGAGCACACACCCATGCGTCTTGCCGATGGATCTATGGGAACAGACAGTTGGAACCCAAAGAGAGTTTGACTTTGGGCTTCGGGTAATACCTGTGCAAGCAAATAATGCTCTGCTGCTCAAGATTTGTCCAACACAAGGTTTTGCAAACGAAGGAGCTGGGTTTGGCATGGGTTTGGCATCTTCCGCATGCGCTGGGAACGGGAAAAGCATGAGACGAACGATTTGCTTTTGCCATGGGTTTGCTGGGATGCCTATGATGTGTTGTTTGCAGGGCATTGCGGTCATTTATCAGCCTTCAAAGCTGTTCTCTGATGTCAGACCAGACCTTCAAAGTAAAGCCCTGGAGTCCTAGAGCCCCAAAGCCCGAAACCTGAAACCCCAGCGAGCGACATCACAAATTCTTGAGCCCTAAGCCCTCAGTTAATCTTAAGCCATACAGCTCCAAATGCATCTGTGGATTCAAGGTGTGCATGTCAGGTTCCACACAACGTCATTCATATTGTGTGTGTGTGTGTTTCTATACTTTCATCTTCATGAACATAGAAATGTACAGATGTCTTACAACTGTACACACACACACACATATATATATACGTGTATGCATATGGAGATGGATATACTTTTTGCATACATACATACATACATACATACATACATACATACATACATTCAGATAGGTAGGTAGGTATAGGTATGGGTATAGGTATAGGTGTAGATATACGTATAGGTATATATATGTATTGTCTTATGTATTCAAAAATTTGTGTGTTGGCTGTTCAGTGTTTCTCTGTCTACTGCGTGCATATGTACACATACACAGACAGAGACATACAACTGCAACTGCCAATGCAAAGCACAACGAGCACCTCTCCCATCATTATATAAAGTCCAACAGTTAAAGTTAGTAAACACTCATGTAAATACACATATACATAGTAGATACATACGTACACACATACACGCATACATGAGTACTATATACATATATGTAACAGGTGTACATAAATACACATATTGACACACACACACACACCTCCTCAGCCCGTCTTCCCAGGCATCCCAGCGTAAAATTGAGTATGCCTAGCAACCTAGGAGACATGTTATGCACCCCGCCTGCATCGAAACCTAGCTATTGTTGGTTTGGGCATCATCACTGTGCTCTTCGAAGGTTCTTGGCGGGACTGGGGCTTCTCTTCGGCATGGTTGGCAACTTCGACGCAGCTTTTGGCTTGCGGTTTAGGACGGTTCATGCTTTCATCAAACAAACAACTGAGGAATCGGAGTTAGACTGTTTGGCAACTTCAGCTTCTTTTGGGTTTGTGGACTGCGGCATCCTTGCATGTGCACGTTTCATTGAAGCATGGCTTGGGTTTAGGGTTTTAGGAACCTAGGGTTCAGGGTTTAGGGTTTAAGGGTTCAGGGTTTAGGGTATAGGGTTCAGGGTTTAGTGTTCTTGTGGTAAGGAGACCATATCATCTAGGATAGATCCCTATCATAGTAACTTAAATTAAGTTCCTTAGCAACAACCAAGAACAAGGAACCTTAAAACCGACACCGTGTACCTGCCTTACACCCTCAACAGGAGCCCTTATAGAAACTGGAGGAACCCGCATGGAGACTTGAGGAACCCAAAAAACTGCTGATGGACAACATCTTCCACGACCCTTTTCTACCTAAACTATGGGAATGAGATGGGACTGTACGGTTTAGGGTTTAGGAAGTTTAGGGTTTAGTTAGGTCATCCATGAACCGAAGGAACCCAGCCTAAGGCGTTCAGGCGATGGGTGGCTCGCAGGAGAGCACTCTCTTGGCACTCGGAGCCCTGACAGGAGTTAAGGGATTTAGCTTTAAGTTACCATAGTAAGGAAACCATATTATTTACTGTACTATAGATCCCCATTACAAAGGTTTAGGACTTAAAGTTGAGGGGTTAACTTTAAGTTACCATAAAATAGGAAACCATATTTTTTGTTATAGATCCCTATTGCGAATGTTTAGGGTTTAACGTTCAGGGCCTGGTTCTCCTGGAAAGACCATAATCTGGCAGCAACATCGTCGAGCTTTCTCGGCGAGTAGATTTGATGCGCGTCCATATTCTATCCTTGAGGAGATAGTGCAGTGATCGCAGCTCTTTACCGTTCTTTACTTACAGGGGACCTTCAGCCAAACTTCAGTCCATTGCCATCCACAGCTTTTTGCTGTGTGCTCTTGCCTGCAGAGCGGGTGCGGGTTGCGTAGGCGCTGGCCGGCACCTCAGCCCGTGCTGAAAAGCCTGTCGAGGGTTTAGGCTTAGGGCTTGTTGTGTGGGTTTAGGGTTCGGGGTTCAGGGTTATTCAGGGTTTAGGGCTTGGGGCCCAGGGTTGAGAGGAAGGGTTTGAAGTGGCAGTGGGAGCTCTGTGGCTTCAGTTGCTAGGACGTTTGTGCTTTTTGTCTTTGAGTTTTAGGGTTGTAGGGTTTTGGGTTTTAGGGTTCAGTTTCGGGGGCTTTATGGCTTAGTATTTTGGGTTGTAGGATAGGGCTTTTAGGGTATGGAACTTCAGGGCCTATGTAGACCCAGAGTTTTACGGTTTAGCCAAAGAGCAAACGGTCAACTTTGGTTGGACATGCAAGACTTCTGCAGACTGCTTTGGGTCTCTTCGTCGTGATATACACCGTATGAAGTCCAAAACCGGCTAGGTGCGAGTAGGACCTATTACCGGCCGGTCTGGCTGCCGGTGATGTCTACCCCCGAAGCTCCCTTGCCATCCGTCCGCTCCGATGTGTCAGCTGGGAGGGATATGGTGGCTGATTGTGCGAGAGAGTGCCTGCCAGGAAAGATTCCGAAGCCGAGCGTCCTCAGTGAGAAATTGCATCTCCTGTGCAGGCGCATCGAGGACACATGATGGGGTCACGTGCAGGCTTCGAGGAACGCGAAACGACGCGTGGGCGATCAGATTTAGGTGGGTTCGGGCTGAAATGGATTCCGTGAGCTGTTTCCAATTCCGAAATGCTCACCTGCACACCCAAGCCTCTCATAGCACTAAGGCTACTATGCTTGTGTTGCATGCTCAGACATTTGGGAGAAATACCGAAGTTTCCGCAGACCGGTACATGCGTTGCGCGTACAAAGCTTTAGCTACAAATCCTAAAGCTTGGTTGACCTGTTCAGAGGCAGGTTGTCATTACACTCTACATTTACTACTACGTTCACAGGCCCACTTCAAAAGCAGACCCCCCAAGTATGACTACTCTGCGAAACAATGCTTCAGGTATTTGAGAAAACTGTTCCAGGTAAATGAGAAAGATGAATCTTGTATGCCTAGAGTATACAAACTGTGGACGGGTCTCTATGTCCCACAGCCCACAAACCTCAAACCCGAAGCCTCAGCCGTACAACCCGAACGCCTGCATTCCGACCGATACCTTTCCGCAGGACTTAGGTGAAGATGGCTTGACGGAGGTATTGAAGATGCTGAAGCGGCAAAGTCAGGTTTGGATCTTTCACTCGGCGGCACAGGTCAAGGAATAGAGGTTGATAGGGTTGTATCGTTTAGGGTTTAGGTGTAGGGTGTATAGTACTTTGGAGGCTACAGCCAGAGATTGAAGTTTGGGGCCCAATGCGTGGTGTTCACAAAACCCAGGCTTCCAAGGCTTTTAACGACCGTCGCGTCGAGGTAGCATGCCTAGGCCGGGGCTCCTCTTTGGGGTTAGCAATTCAACATGACAAAACGATAAGAATCCCAGCCCTCTTGCAGACATCCTAACTCCCACAATCCCCAAGCTCTAGACCTGACCCTCCATATTAGACTCGTTACCTATAGTCTCCATTGTAGTTCCTTTTTGGGGTTACCTTTGGGGAGCCTTAATATAGAATTGGTCAAACCAAAAAAAGGAACTACAATGGAGACTATAGGTAGACCACATGTCAGAGCCCAACCGACCAAGCGAAGGAACTTGTCCATCTATGATCTCCGCATGGCCGCGCAAATCGTCACTGCGATTGGGTCAGAGGCCGTTGGTTTTCAAGGTTTGATGTTTAGCCAAGGTACCCCTAAAGCAAGGAGTGAGATTTCCATTGTAATCGTTGTAATCGGTTACTGTAGGATCAGTTTCCGTTTTGCTGCTACGTTGATTGCTCAAAGTTGCGGTGCGGAGGCACAGCATTTATGGCCTCGGTGTGCTAGGAAATGTTGGATTTGCGGGGGTGCTGGGTGTGCGGGTGTTTTAAACTCAAAAGCAGGTGATCGACTTTGAGACGAGGGTGGCATGCCGTCATAGCGGTAAACGTTCACGCGGTAGTCTACTACACTGTTCCGTGGCCCGATGTTCACTTTTGGTCTTGGGGCGTTGGAACGGGAACAGACAACATTGACTGGCATTGAAGGATTCAAACCTTAATGTCTCGCCACAGTTATGAAGGTGAGACAAAAAGGTTCCTTCTCCTTGTCGTGACAGTCCAGAGACGAGAAAGGTCGCTTTTGCAGTTTAGAGCCCTGCAGAAGTTCCTGCGATATTGGGCAGAGCCAGATGTCCCGACTTCCAGTATAACACCAGTTCGTTGTGTTTGAATTTCGGCATGTGCGAGAGGTTTCGGCAGTGGCATTGCCAAGTGATGAGCGGCAGCAGCAGACGTCGTCGTCGTCGTCCTTCTCCTCCTCCGCATCGTTGTACTAGTAGTAGTGGTAGTAGTGGTATTGGTAGCAGCAGCAGCAGCAGCAGCAGCAGCAGCAGCAGCAGCAGGAGCAGGAGCAGGAGCAGGAGCAGGAGCAGGAGCAGTCGTAGTAGTAGTAGTAGTAGTAGTAGTAGTAGTAGTTGTTGTTGTTGTAGTTGTTGTTGTTGCTGTTGTTGTTGTTGTTGTTGCTCTTGTTGTTGTTGTTGTCGTCGTCGTAGTAAGTAGTGATAGTGGGAGTGGCAGTAGTAGTAGTCGTCGTCGTAGTAGTA